CCATTACTTTGGAAACAATGTCTGTCAAAAGATTTGCTTTGTAAACATTAGCACACACGTCAGCAGCATACACCCATGGGCAAATAGACACCAAATTAACCAATCAGAGCACGCACTTTGCTTTAGTTATGTTATAAATAAAAATATTAAATAATTTTGAGTCAAGTGTTCATGTATTTTTTATCTGTTGTAATCATGACTGCTTTGACTGTTTTGTTTGAACAGCATGAATATTATTTTATAATTTCATGCAGCTGCAAGCAAGTTTGATTTAATTATGGCTACTTGTTCATGATGATTATTTGTCTGTGAGAAAGAAAAAAATAAATATAATTATATACTTTGAAAGGCAGATTGGTTTAAAAAAAAAATTGCTAAACAAAAACAAATTTTAACCAAATTTTCCTTGGTATTTGGCCATGCTACACTGTTTTATATACATGTACATTATATGTAGCTGCCGCAGTGCTTTTGGAGTCATTTGTTTGCTAGCTCTCATGAAGAGTTTGTTTACAAGTGTATATTAAATAAATGTTTTTCTTCTTTGCATGATCCTCTTTTCAGACATCATTAAAGAAGTTATTGATCAACAAAGTACATTGTACGACAATGTGAATATCGTGGCCAACTTTTTCAAGTACGAACAGGTGAGACACGGTTTACAGTTTTACCTCTGTCCAACAGCAACCTGAAGGCAGAATTACTGGGATCAAGTTACATAGTGATGATGGCTTTCATAGTGAGGCTTACATAGTGATGACTTTTTCTTACAGACTGTTTTCTAATGCAAGTTTATAGGCCACTGATCCTACTGTAGTTTTATATTTTTTTACAGGTATATTTTTAACCTTACTATAATTTCAGTATAGACCCTGTTAGGATCATTAAAATGTAGATTCCAATTTCCATTTGGAGAAGGAGTTGTGAGAGTTAAATAGTGGCTATAGGGGAACCTGTTGACACAACTACTTTTTGAGACTTAAAAAACTATGGTTGTATAAAAGAGAAAAATGACTGACTTAGCATTAACTTTCTTTTGGCCAAAAGTAGAACTAGCTGCAATAGCAAGGTGGTCATATTATTTTATTTGACAGTTTGTTGGATTAAAGGTGGGGCTCCACTATACAGTTACACCATGTAAGTGTCTCTCCCAAGAACATCATCATCATCATCACCACTGCTCTTTGCGCCAGTAGGCGCATATGGCCGTAACATTCTGTTTCCACTGTGCCCTATCCATTCCACGGCTACTGCTCTCACAGTGTTCCAGTCATTCCACCCTGCCTGCCACCCTTTGATTCCTCTACTGTCCTCCTACAGGTCTTTCTACATGTAGGTCTCTGTACTGCTCTTCTACCTTCTCGTCTCCACCCTAACACCACCGTGCAGTCACTGGATCTTTCTCCACGCTGTACAGTATATATTTACTCCAAGTCCAATGCCAAGGATGTTGATCTTATACTGCCTCATCTCCTTTGCCACTTATGCTGCAGCACTTGTTGCATACATTTTGCATACGTTCCAGTTCCCTACCATTGTGGTGTACCTTCAGTTTGTGTTATTAATGACCTTATTGGCCGCTGGGCTTCCTGTTGGCTTTCACCAAGTTGCGTCGTAATCTTTTCAGTTTCCTGTCCATCCACTGTCACCTCCACATCATCGTTTTGATCTCCATTCAGAATGTGTCGGTTTCCGTAATAGTATGTTTTTTTTTTTTTTATGTAGGTGCAGGTTATTAGCGCTCAGCCTTACCCCCAAAACTTGGGGGGCTGGTTGGATTTCTGTCAGGGTTTTCCTTCCCTTTAGGTGGTTGCCTTCCAGTGCTAATGAGTGACTATCTACCTGGGTTTGGAATCAGAGTTTTCCTTCTCCTTCTCTCATCTTTCCCAAAAACTCAACATATCAATTTTGAGCGTCATCAATTCCCATCATGCATGTCCTATATATATTCACACACGTAGCCGCACATAACATATATACTGTAGAAGAGCACTAAATTTACTCAGTGTTATTTATAAAATTCAATATACCAGGGTGTCATGGTTGGTTTCAAGGATAAACTTCTCTTCAGTCACAACAAGAAAGAATTGACAAAAGACTTGCCATACTTTGACAAAGTTAAGGTAAGATACATGACTGTCTTATTATTGGACTGCTCATGATCAAGCATTCAGAAGTTCAGAGGTGTTAGCACGGCTGCTTTGAGTCAGAAAAGTCAGGGAAGGAAATTTCAATGTCAGTCTTGGGAAACATTTAATTTATGATAATCTAGTGTTTTAGGTAATGACCTCATTTGGAATTGTAAACAAAAGTGTTAGTCATGGAAGTGATTTTTTTTTGTTTTTCATGTTCTGATAGGACCGCACTGGTGTCATTGTCATGGGAGACCTGCCAGAGGATGCCCATGTCTCAGCAAGTCCTAAAAACTCTGAAGTAACTCTCACTGTGGGTTTCTTGAATGATAAGGTGTGGATCTGTCTAATACTTACCTTGATGATTGTTATAATAATTGTTCTTTATCATCGTTGTCGTTGTCTGACGTTATCATCATCATCATTGTCATTATCATTATCATCATTATATGATAATCATCATCATTCTAGGACCTTGATAGAGTATGATATAAATCATAAATTGCTTATTAAGATTTTATTTGACAGTGGTGCGATTGATAACTACAGTACTGGCTGTTCTTGTGCTATAACTGTGTTCATGTACTTGACTACTTTTTTACAAACAAGACATAGTTGAGAAACATTGGGGAAAGCAATTAAAGTTGGACCCCACTAATATGAACTCGGTTATTTTGGATTCCCCATTATTTTGAACTCAAAACTGTTTCCCTTGGGTTTGCCCTTCAGCCATTTACTATTGGTTATTTCAAACTCTTGCTATTTCGAACTATACTTTTAGTTTCCCCTGAGAGTTTAAAATAGCAGGGCTCAACTGTATCAGTGATTCAGGGAGCTTCCTTTTTTGCCTCAATGGGCCTCTAGTTTCTTGCTCTCTTAATTAAGCTTCCTTCTAACTTCTTATAATAATTTCTTATTTAATTTCGTAAAGATAAGTTGATTCTAATTTTGAAGTGTTTTCCCCCTAGGTGGATGAACGTGTCCATGACTACATGGATGCATTTGACATTGTAATAGTTGACGACCACAGCATTGAACTGGTTGATCTTTTGTTGATGACCATCATAAGGGCTAAATAGATGATGACGAGTGGACTACATGTACGTCATTCAGCCGAGCAGTTCAAGTGAATGATGGTGAAGAGGAACTTGTAGAGAATTGTTTGTAGACAACCTACAGAGAGATTGTCAGACATAGTGTAGTGCTTTGGTTTAATGAACTTGTGTGGTTTTGTTTATATCCAGTTTTTCAAAAAACTGATTAATTGTCTTGAGTTTAATTTACCAGTGAGCTGACTCTACATGTATATCCAAGTCAGATCCAAGTAGGAATCCATGTACCCTTATTCACCAATTAAGAGCACACAGTGAATACTGCAAAATTCCGCAAGTATTGTCCCTGACTTCTCTCAGATTGAGTAGCCTTTTTCTGTATTGCTATTCATGAGTTCTTGAAAGGTCACAACTTAAGTGGGGAGGTGGCGGAGGTATTTTCTTTGGTTAAAATGCACTCTTTGTGCTACATCTAAATAAAATGGGAAGCATATAAAATTGCTGAAAGAACTCATCTCAATTCTAATTAATACATTGCTTTTGGAATAAGGGTCATACATGTAAAATGTAGTCGAGACAGCTTGTGGTATCTGTTATTATTTTACATTCTTTCTCTAGTAACAAGTTACTAGACTTTCACAAAATCAGCTGTCAGTTCGAGATCGCACTCTTTGTTGGGTTGTGCTCTACACTCAGTAAAGGGTTCATAACACGGATGCCAGTTGAGTGGATAATTTTTGCAGCAGGGTTAGTGGATTCAGTTTGGCACTCTCTCAGCAGCAAGCGAAGTTTCATGGGAAAATTTTGAGGAAATTCAAATTTACATAAGTACTGTAATCTGAGATTTAAGTTTTAAGAGGCTAGCTATATAGTGAGAATGATTTTCTATCTAGTGCATCATACCTGGAGCTTGCCTGAAGGACAAACCTAAAAAAAATTGTTTTGATTTTGTTTACCCACTTGGACAAGGATCTTACTCAGACTTGGCTGTTATTTGGAAAATAGATTTAAACCAAAGCTTTTGTTTTTTTCAGTATCCATTGCAAGTTTGTTTCACCACAAGGACTACACGGTGTTAGGGTGTAACAATATGGGGTGCAACTCAGATATTCGTGATTAGAATCTGGAGATGCCAGGCTGCAAAAGATCAATACAGTGATAAATTATTATGTAAAGTATTTGCTGTTGAATTAGACATGGTAATTAACATGGGTAGCTTTAGCAGTCAATGGTTCTCCTTTTGTAGTTATATATTATACACTGTAAGTTGTATGTCAAAATTTTCTGGCAACTGGAGATCAGAATATTTCTAAATACAACCAAGGAAGTTTTAATATAAGGTACAATCATGTAATTATTAGTACATAACAACACTTGTTGTTAAAGTACAGTTGACACTCTGCTGATGGACATCCTGGGCAGTCAGCTCTAGCTCCTAAGTGATGCATTGTTTGTCGCCTCATAGGAAGATCAACTTTACATCACTAATTTTATTGTCTTTTCATTAGTGGTACATGTACTTGTGTATATGAATCTGATTTGTGTGGTTTTGCCCTCTTGAACATGAAATTGTCTTCTTCTATTTTCAGATTTTTTTTTC